AGACTCATTGCCAGTTATCACAAACACTTGATTGCAGTTGTTGCTGCAAAGGGTGGCCCAACCAGTTATTAGATTTAGGGGGCAATTACTTTTTCACATAGTGCCAGGCAGGTTTGGACAGCTTTTTTCCCTTAATACATGAAATAATTATTTCAAAACTGCATTTTGTATTCACTTGCAATATCTTTGTGTAATATTAAAATTTGTTTGATGATCTGAATCTTTTTAGTGTGACAAATATGCGTGTGACAAAAAAAACAAAACGGGAAGGGGGGAAAAACTTTTTCACACACCACTGTGTATATATATATATAATTTTATTTATTTTTTTACTTAAAATTCAATTATAAATTTAAGTATAAATGAAATATTCAAAATACAAAAACAGTTTTGGTATCGAACTTTGTATAGAGAATTGTTAAATTTCATTTATATTGGTACCGACTACTGGTACTTTTGGTATCATGCCAACACTGGTGTCCAGCATACTGCACATCAAGAGGATACAGAAACTGGCAGAGTAGTGTCAGGACACTGGAGATCATTTGTGGCCAGTGCAACATGGCCTGACTGCCCTCCACATCCTGCTGGGAGAGGATCTGAGACATGATGGCTTTACGGGCCACATTCTGGTAGAACAACTCCACCACAGTTTGAGGATTCAACACTAAAAACAAGAGAGAAACAACATGGCGAGGTACAGTCAGCATTCTCATCAGCAGGCACAGACTGTCTGTACTGAGGCATTTAATTCATCTTACCTGATCTACTGGATGTAGGAGTTGAGGAGTCGGACAGCTCCAAAACAGACAGGTGCTGAAGATCAGCATTTCTAAAGAGAGAAAAATAATGCATGAAATAATGCCCTTAAATACACCCAGGAACAATTCTCAAAGATTAACCAAAATAAAAAGCAAGTGTATTTATTTTCTCTTATTAAAAAAAATAAAATAGTGCTGTCAAACGATTAATCACGATTAATCGCATTTACATACTATGTAATTATTATAATAATTACAATAACTAGGTAATAACTAGGTACTAAACCTGAACCTACCCCTAAACCTAACCCTAGCACATGTAGTTACCTTATATTACCAGAACTTTCTTAGGTAGGTTTACTGCAATTACACTGTAAGTACATGCAAGTACACGTACTGTAAAATAATGCAACCGATGTGTGACATTCAGGGATTGAAATTAACTTTTTCACGCACCAGCCAATTTGGCTACTAAATTTTTAAGTTACCGGCCATTCATAACGTCTACTAGCCAAAATAAAAAAAATAAACCAACAAAAATAAACCAACAGCTTGAGGCGGTCTACACTGAACGTGACAAAGCGACCGTTGCAAATCATTTTGTATCAGAACTAGGGGTGTGCGATATTGACAAAATAATCTCAATATTTTCTAGAATTTTATCGATAAAGATAATTAGACCATATTTTGCTGAGTGTGTTATTGTGCTGATATCTTAAGGACTACCGTGGACAGATGACTCCTAAAGTTTTTGATATATTTCTTATTCTGTGTGGTCAGTTCACAGCAGTGAAAGAAATTAATCTTTTCCAATAAGTTTAAATAGATTTTTACCTTTTATGTGCATTTTTTAATTTTTACATGGAATACTTTAACCTGCAGTTACAAATGCATAAATAATGTTTTGATATTTTAAACATGAAATGAATACTGATATTTGAAATTATTTAAAAAATGAAAAGATACATTAAATGTAAAATTAAAACAATTAAAACGGCCAGTAGGTGGCAGCAAGTCGCTGTTAATAACTGAGTCATTGCGATTGAACCGAATCATTTAAACGGTTGATTCAATCAGGAACCAAACGCTGTCATGTTGCTCAGAGACGCAAAACAGTGCTGTGGCTGTGTTTGGAGTTATTTTTGTTGTCGAAATAGAGCAAAAACAGGCAATATGGTGTCTAAACAAGAGAGAAACAACATGGCGAGGTACAGTCAGCATTCTCATCAGCAGGCACAGACTGTCTGTACTGAGGCATTTAATTCATCTTACCTGATCTACTGGATGTAGGAGTTGAGGAGTCGGACAGCTCCAAAACAGACAGGTGCTGAAGATCAGCATTTCTAAAGAGAGAAAAATAATGCATGAAATAATGCCCTTAAATACACCCAGGAACAATTCTCAAAGATTAACCAAAATAAAAAGCAAGTGTATTTATTTTCTCTTATTAAAAAAAATAAAATAGTGCTGTCAAACGATTAATCACGATTAATCGCATTTACATACTATGTAATTATTATAATAATTACAATAACTAGGTAATAACTAGGTACTAAACCTGAACCTACCCCTAAACCTAACCCTAGCACATGTAGTTACCTTATATTACCAGAACTTTCTTAGGTAGGTTTACTGCAATTACACTGTAAGTACATGCAAGTACACGTACTGTAAAATAATGCAACCGATGTGTGACATTCAGGGATTGAAATTAACTTTTTCACGCACCAGCCAATTTGGCTACTAAATTTTTAAGTTACCGGCCATTCATAACGTCTACTAGCCAAAATAAAAAAAATAAACCAACAAAAATAAACCAACAGCTTGAGGCGGTCTACACTGAACGTGACAAAGCGACCGTTGCAAATCATTTTGTATCAGAACTAGGGGTGTGCGATATTGACAAAATAATCTCAATATTTTCTAGAATTTTATCGATAAAGATAATTAGACCATATTTTGCTGAGTGTGTTATTGTGCTGATATCTTAAGGACTACCGTGGACAGATGACTCCTAAAGTTTTTGATATATTTCTTATTCTGTGTGGTCAGTTCACAGCAGTGAAAGAAATTAATCTTTTCCAATAAGTTTAAATAGATTTTTACCTTTTATGTGCATTTTTTAATTTTTACATGGAATGCTTTAACCTGCAGTTACAAATGCATAAATAATGTTTTGATATTTTAAACATGAAATGAATACTGATATTTGAAATTATTTAAAAAATGAAAAGATACATTAAATGTAAAATTAAAACAATTAAAACGGCCAGTAGGTGGCAGCAAGTCGCTGTTAATAACTGAGTCATTGCGATTGAACCGAATCGGTTGATTCATTCAGGAACGAAACACCGTCAAGTTGCTCAGAGACGCGAAAAAGTGCTGTGGCTGTGTTTGGAATTAGTAGAAATAGAGCAAAAGCAGGCATGGTGTATAAAACATAAGTCTCTTAATATTAACTTATTGATTTTATACAACAGTTCAATAAACAATATCACATTTGTAACCATGCAGATTTTTTTTTTTTTTACGGCACTGTTCGTGTGATATTGATTAACTATATGAAATGATATATGAGCAATATCACTCGAGTATGAGAGCGATACCGGCTCTATATCAGCATGGCTGTGATTAGGCCAGAGGCACGAGGTCGGAGGCAATCACAGCCGCTGATATAGAGCGTTTTGATTTTTTTATAGTAATAAAAATAATTTAGTTCAGTAAAAGAACAGACGCTACAATTAAAAACTGAACACGGCTGCTTCAATGCAGCGTGCCGAACGACAGTAGCATCACAGATCAGATTTAAATTCTCCAGTGAGGAGAGTGAGTCGAGCTGACTGTCAAGAAGAGTGTGTTGTCACACGTCGATTAACCGGTGGGAAAATTTCTTCACCGTCACAACCCTAGTTCTCAACCAATCAGATTTGAGAACCAGAATGAACTGTTGTATAAAAATATATAAATTTTCTGCCCCCTTATCTTGAATTATGTGATCATTCTTAATGCATATTAATAGACTGAATCATGCAGTGAAAGAACACTCTAAATGCGTGCGTGCACTAATTTAGTGTTGTCGCTTATGCGTGCACTCTATAGGTGTGTTTTGTTTGGTGTTTGCAATATAGGCCTACTCGATAATGTAATGTCTCACGAGTTCAGTATTTGCGTATTCGCTGCTCTTGATTGAACTGCTTTTGTAGTTTTAATAATAAATGTATTCGTAATGCACACTGAAGTGATTTTTACATTTGATTATTTGTTTTTCTTACTTGAATGTTTTTGTTTAGACGTAAAAGTGGATAGTTTATTTTGAATGGCGTCCCGGATCATGTCAGAGGATTGATCGGAGCATTTTGTTTTGTAAAGGAGGCACAGTGTCATGGAGAGTCACAAAGAATAATTTGTTGAAAGATGAAGCAGCACTAGATCTGACTGCAGCTGCATCACAAACCGTAAGTAAATGATTTCATAATGCTTTGTCTGGAAATGACCATTTTATTTTGACTGTTGTCAAATCACTCAAAACATGTAATAGCGAGGGGGCATTGATACTATTTCCTATGCAATGATGTTAGCCAATCATAACAGTGGCTGATTCCCGAGAAGCCTTAAATGACCCGCCCCTTAAAAACAGCCTGTTTCTGAGAGAAGTTCAGAATGAGGGTTGAAAATAATAATTTTTCCACATATCTATTCATTTTTTTTTTTTTGCCAGCGATTTTGATGATTTTCACTAAAATGGCCTCCAGTATATTTTGCTGTATGGATATTTGAATATGCAATACACCAAAATAAAGATCAGAGCGTCTACATTTCAACAAAAAAATCAGTTTTATTCTAGCTTAAAGCATTCTTTTTTTATCAACACTTGAATATAGGTAGGTTTCATAAAAAAAGTAATAATTTTAAGCAAAAAGGTGAGAATATCAAATTTTTATCAAAAACTACATCTGGATAATATTCAGTACGATTATCATAGCGAGGGGCTAGTGATACTATTTCCTATGCAATGATGTTAGCCAATCATAACAGTGGCTGATTCCCGAGAAGCCTTAAATGACCCGCCCCTTAAAAACAGCCTGTTTCTGAGAGAAGTTCAGAATGAGGGTTGAAAATAATAATTTTTCCACATATCTATTCATTTTTTTTTTTTTGCCAGCGATTTTGATGATTTTCACTAAAATGGCCTCCAGTATATTTTGCTGTATGGATATTTGAATATGCAATACACCAAAATAAAGATCAGAGCGTCTACATTTCAACAAAAAAATCAGTTTTATTCTAGCTTAAAGCATTCTTTTTTTATCAACACCTGAATATAGGTAGGTTTCATAAAAAAATGCATAATTTTGAGCAAAAAGGTGAGAAAATCACATTTTTATCAAAAACTACATCTGGATAATATTCAGCAAGATTATCAAAGCATAAATCCAGTAAATCGCTTCTATCAACACCTCCAAAGCTTGCACAGACATATACCACTTCCTGGATCAACATTTTACTCTGTAACATTATGCAGTTTTCATTTATATGCTGTCTATTGCTGATGATCGCATTATTTTTCATATGCATCTGTTTACATAAGAGATCGCTCGTTTCTCCGTCCTGTTCACGTGTGTTTTTGTTCGGGAGGTTTTTGTACTCGTTCAGAAGATGTGTAATAGCGCCCCCGAGTGTATAACAGTGAAAACACGGAAAGCTGTAAAAACTCGCCTTTGAAAGGTTTTCTTGTAAAAGACGAGATAACTCGTCAATGGCAGGGAAAGAGTTAAGAAAGGAAGTGGAGGAAATGATGCAACGTTGCTAGGTGATTTTTGCTTTGGAACCTTCAGAAAACTTTTAACTATTCTTCTCAGAACTGGCTTTGCTGACTATATCGACTTCAAACGGGTGTAGCTCACTCATTTTTTGTCAGATTCTAACAAATCATACATCATTTTGAAGGTCTTTTAATGGAGAATGTGATTTTTCTAATTCATATCTTTGCTCATTTTTGGCTGAAAATTTGCTCATTATGATTCATTTTGGTCACAACTGTCTTGCTCATGCCTAAGAAATAATTAAGCTTTTTTTGAGCATTTACAAAGTGTCAATTGCTTTGGATTATTGGGAGAAAACATGAAACAGTGGGACATATGATAAAACGTTTATCTTTGTGAGGAATATAACTAAACTTGACATAGTACTGAAACTTTTATTGCTGTCTATGCTCAAGAACTTTGCCACCATCACAGCCCTACGGTACACACACATTTGCATTAAGAATCATAGCTTACATATAAATGTGGATTTTTTTGTGTGGATTGGGCCATGTGGCATGTGGACTCACAATATGTCAAGTGGAACGGATGAGGACAGCGTCAGGCTCATCTGTTTGAGCAGGTGATATGAGCACAGCAGACTAGAGCATCGAGGAATCAAGTCCTGCTGCAGCTGCAGTAACTGAGCACCGCCTGCAACAAACACCTGCACAAACAAACCATTAATTCATAAGAGTACAGGACCTAGGACTATAAACGGGGCTTTAAAAATTATTTTTCACTTAAATATTTCCAGAATTCAATCTGTATTCAAATTCTACCAAATTCTTTTTTCAGTAAGGGGAACTGCAGGTTTTTAAGTCAGCAATCCACAAGAGATTGGATACATATAAACAGCACCGTTTTACATTCTCAAGGCAGTTCCAGAGATGAATCACAGTTTTTGAATTTAGCCTTAGTTTTTGCCAAAATATCCTGTACATTTAGTCAATGTTTCATATATATATCTGATTAATCTCATGTAAAGGGTGCATTTGGATGAGTTAATTAACCTGCTAGCAAAGGGCTTGAGTTTAATGGTGCACCGTTCAGCTTCAATTCAAGCTGTAATATATTATTCTGTTATTTTGATTAGATAATAATCAAGTATTTTAGAATAGAAGCTGTTAAAGCGTGGGAGTATACATACAATATCCATATGTATAATTTCAGTGCTATGGCCTTTGTGTAGATATTTAAAGATGGCGATGACTGTTGAAATGAAATGGTAACACTTTACAATGAGACTCCATTTGTAACATTAAGATTAATGAAAGCTGTATAAGTATTATTCCTTGTTAGAGTGTTAATCAACATTTACTATTACTAATACATTTTTTTATTAAGTTTCTTCTGTTAACATTAAACTATGAACTAACTCTAATGATCAAAATAATAATTAATATAAATATCTTTATTCAATTAAAAAGTATGGTTCAGTACTGTTTTTTTAAATAGTAAAGCACTATTTTGGTTTCGTTCAGTATCCATTTTAAAAACTACCGGTTTATTAATCATTACTGGCCAGTGTGGTCAAACCTATCTATCGGCATCGGTAAAATCCACTACGGCTCTCTAAAGCAATGCAGAATATTTCCCTTGATATTGTAATTGTAAAGATTCTTCAAAACATTGCTTGTGCATCATTAAAGTGTGAAGTAAATTCTGTTCTAGTCAATTATCAACAATGTATTTTAAATAAAATGTGCTAATCGGTGCTTATCACACGTCTTGAAATCAAATGCACAGTTTTTGCTTTCAAATTTGCATTTTCTACCTTAAAGGACGTTTTTGTAGTTCAAGTCGCAATATCACAAACAGCCCTAACTGAGACACGTGCTAAGTATATGTGCGTGTGTCTACTCACATTATCTCCGTTTCGCAGGTACAGCTGCTGCAGGATGAGCAGGTCTCTGCAGAGCAGAGTTCGTGTCATAGCGGTCTGACACACAGCTTGACAGATCAGACTAGCGGCCACACTGCTGCCGTAGAGCTGGGAGAGGCTAATGCGCACTCTCAGAGACTGACCTTCAACAGTGATGATCAGGGGAAGAGTCCAAACATGCATATTAACAAAAAAGGGGTCATGCTTTAATACTCGTTCTCAATAGAGCCCGACCGATATGGGTTTTTTGGGGCCGATGACGATACCGATATTAGGGAGTAAAAAAAGTCAGACACCGATATATCGGCCAATATTTTTTGTGTGTATATGTTCTGTAAAAAACAAAATTTCATATCGGCGGTATATCCGCCGATACGATATATCTGCGACAGGCTCATATCAGCCGATAAAATCAGCAGAACGATATATCGGCCGGGCTCCAGTTCTCAACTTGCACAACTGTCTTTTGTCTGAGAAGGACAAAAGAATAAACAAAAGAAAAATCTTTCAGCCGTTTACACACAACAAAACAGAATATAAGCAGGGGCTATCAAACTATCAAAATCACAAACACTAAAAAGTCACAACTGCCAATTATTCCTTTGATATTGTAAATGTGATAATACATATGTATTGGCAATTAATATATTACACATATAGTTTAAATATATACTTATTTTATTAACAGAATTTATATAAAAATACTTTTTTGTGCGGCATGCCTTATTTCTTACGTAGGCCACACATCCAGAACAAAATGTTATCGAATTACTTCACTGCTCTTTTATAACAAGTACACTACATTGCCAAAAGTATTGGGACACCCCCTTCTAATGAACAGGCTCGACTACTTTAGTAATTTCCATGAGTACAAATCTTAATGTTAAAGGGTTAGTTCACCCAAAAATGAAAATTAGCCTGTGTTTTACATATTTCCGTTTGAAATATGGATATTTTTCTGACAAAAACGCATGGATTTATTATTGGATGCGCACGCTTTATTTAACGTGTTTTGGACTGTTCAACAGAAACACCCGTGACTGCAATAATAGAGCTTAGAAGAGCCAGGACAGTTTTCCATATAACTCCGACTGGATTCGTCTGAAAGAAGTCATATACACCTAGGATGGCTTGAGGGTGAGTAAAACACAGGCTATTTTTCATTTTTGGGTGAACTAACCCTTTAAAGCATATAATGATATTCTAGGGAATTGTGTGCTTATACACAGAGGCACTGTCATGTTAGAATAGAAAAGGGTCCTGTCCAAACTGCTGCTGTAAAATTAGAAGTACACAATTCCCTAGAATATCATTATATGCTTAAACATTAAGATTTGTACTCGTGGAAATTACTTAAGTAGTCAAACCTGTTCATTAGAAGGGAGTGTCCCAATACTTTTGGCAGTATAGTGTATATCAAGAGAGTGCCTCAAAGGGTGATCTTCACTATCAATATACAATATGTAGCACTTCAATTACATTCGATCAATTTTGAACCTAGATAAGAATGAATTCAGAAAAATGACAATCATTTTTTGGGCAAATTACTCCTCAGACAACAACAAGATCATTCACCACAGAACCCTTTAAAAGGTGCATATAAAAGGTGTACCAGTGGGTCTGGTGTCGGTCTCTGCATCAGCCTCCAGGTCCAGTTCTCTCAGCAGCGTGTTTATTGCAACAGTGGGGTTACTGATGTCTTGCAGTTTGTTTAAAATGTCCTGAATCACATTCCCACTGAAGAAAATATATGACTTTAGACATCAAGCTGATCCGTGTGACTGCATTAAATCAGTGATGTGAGGGATACTGACTTGTCACTGGCCAGAAGACCCTCCAGTACTTTTTCCGACACTTTCTCTGGAGACAGCAGGTCCTCAAGGGCTTTGTCCATCTCATAGGCCATGTCCTCTGGAAGAGACTCGCTCACCATGCGGAGACACTGAACGAGCTGCAGGACATCACGGCTTAAATTCGAATCTAATAAAAGACCACCATTAACGACTGCTTGCTCGATTACTTCATGTCAACTGTGGCTGCTTGTCTTACTAAGTGGGCAGATCATGGCATTAATAAACTGAAAAGGGGATCAGAAGAAGTCTCTCCCCAACTCACCAGATGATTCATTATAAGTTAATCTATAAGGCATATGCCACTCCCTGTTTATTATATAAAATGAAGAAAAAGTCTGACCCTTTTTGTCACCTGTGTAACAGCTCAAGTCAAGGTACATATATGCATATATTCTGGAACTGTTCCCAAATTGTGTTGTTCTGGTCCTCTGTAAGGGACTTATTGTCTGATCTTCTGAGGACTCAGATCCAAAAGGACTGACTGTTTTCAGGGCTCCAGACTGCAACCAAATGGTCGCATTTTGCGACCACCGTGTTGTTTAACTCATAAGCGCTGCCATTTCTGTTGCATATGAGAAACATCAAACGGCAAACGAATCTGAAAGTATAACGAAACCGTGCTACTCGTTTGAACTGCGCAGCGCTTCGAGTGCAGAGCCTGGTTTATACTCGCGCAGCAAAAATGACGCGAATATTGAGGAAACGATGAATGGTTTTCAAGCTAAAGTAAAAAAAAAAAAAAAAAACATGCAAGCACTGACACCGTCAGCAAGTTTAGTTTTACATTTCTTTTTGTTTTCATTTTGAAAAGCTTGTTATATTTGCTGTTTACCTCACGTTACGCTATGGAGGCTCTCTTTTATTGATTTTTTTGATTCCTCAGTTTTTGCTAAACGTTCTGTAATTTATCAGTCTGTATATAATACAGCATGTGGTGTATGCCATGCCTCATCTTATTCGTTTTTGTTAATAAACGTTTTGTAAGCTAGTTTGTCATTGTATCTTACTGTTTTATTGTTGTTGTGCTTTTTAGTTAAGAATAACAATGAATCCATATTTTGTTTTAGTCTTAAAAAGTGAAAGGTGTGTAGATGTAAGCAAAATAGACAATTATCTTTTCTCGTAAAACGTGACAAGATCGCGAATTCGAAAGTGAAAGCACCCGAAGCCAGGCTTATAACACAGCAAAAGAGGGACTGCCGTTCACAAAATCAAATCACAAATACTACTGATGAAAAAGAACAGGTTGCATGTTAACCACTTTAGTTTCCATATAACTATAAACTATGATGAAAAAGATGGGGTTGAATGTTAACCACTTTCGTTTCCATATAACTATAAACTATGATAAAAGTTCATTAGCATGCATTGATTAATCCCATGTTGTAGCGCAAAGAAAAAAAAACTGTGACCAAATCATGTGCTCGTGCGACCAACTGAGAAAGTTAGTCGCAAAAGAGCGACCAGTGGGAAGAATGAGTCTGGAGCCCTGGTTTTTCACTTGCTGGATGACTCTTCACTGTTACTAGCTGTTTCCATCCACCTAATTTTATGCGTATTTTGGAAATCGCATAAAAAATGCTAGATGGAAATGCCAAGATGCGCATAAATTCTAAAAATGCACATTAAAAAAAACGTATGCACAAATTTGAGTAGGATAAACTTTTTATCCGATAAGACAAAATGTGCATAAACTACAATGGAAGCATATTTACCGAATAATTTCCTTCATGCGCATTGAAAAAGTCATGTGACTTTGTGCTATGAGACAGGATAACTTGACTAGCAGCAGACCGATCTCGTTGACAGCATCTATATGTTGTTCTGGTCATTCTGAAATGCCTGAGTAAAGTCTGTCGTCAAAGTATTTCTGTATAAATACTGTCTTACACGACTGTGTTCCCAAACAGCAGCATCCGCCTCCGAAAGCAATGACCGCATTTATTGTGTTTATCATATATGAACATTATTATATTCAGTGGCTTCTCCTAGTTTTCCTAGTGATATTTAGTGCCAGTTTACCAGGAAGTGACGATTTTGTACTCTTTGACTCGTTGGATAGAAACTTTATTCGGTGATTTATTCGCAAATGTTTTATGCGATATTCCAGTTTTGCGCATAAGTTTAATTCGAATCTTTGGAAGGAAACACAGCTACTGTTGGTTGATCAAAAAAGGATTCAGTCCGCTGCTTTTACTGCTGCCAAAAAAGTTATCCTGAAACTAGGGCTGGGCAATTGTTCCGATTTTATAGAATAAATAGAATTTTATATTTTGCCACGATTTAATTTTTTATAAATAGAGGAATCACGATTTTGAATAGAAATATTACCAAACGCTAGAATTAGACACTGACAATATGCCAATGATAACAGCAAAGAGAAAAGAATGATCCAATCTCATGTCAGCGCACATGATTAACCACTCACGAGTGACGCGCTCTGTGAAGGACCAGAAGTAGAATATATCACAAGGGGCCATTCACACAGAAAGTGCTTTTGTGTTGACAAAGATGTGACGTGGGCAGTGGAATAGGAAAAAATGCAGTAAGATGGGAGTTAACTTCTTTTAACTTGAGCGCCTAATTTTTAGACTGCCGTTTCGTTCAAGAAACGTGAGCGCAACAGTCAAACATGTAAACCAAGTTTACATAGAAAAAACAATGGAAAAGCAGTGCAATCGAATAAAAAAACCTGTAACTACTACTGTATGTCTGATATTTCATGTTTGCATCAGGGTGACAGACTGAAAGCTGCTGTTGTCTTTACATAACATTTATAGTTAATAATAGTCTACTGGTGTCATACCTTCAGTCATTTTGAATTTGAATTACACTGACTTTTGAAATTTTTTTTAAAGCATTTTCCTTGCATTATTTCTGAACATATAACATGTATAAGACAAGTTTGTACAATATGTAGTTGTAGTTCATGCATCTTTTCTGCCAAGATATTTAACAAGTGATTTGTTTAACATTTACATCATGTTGACAACTTCATGTGTGCTGCACTTGAAATAGAATTTTCTTTAAGAACAGGGTTAACAAAAAGGTTACTTGAATCATGTAGTTACATTTTCAAGTTGACTAGTTAATAAATATCGTAAAAATCGAGAATGGGTCAAACGTTCTGTAAAAGAAACATGTTATTATTTCGCCATATTGCCCAGCCCTACCTGAAACAGTGGTTGGATCCATCTACCCCAGTAATGTTTATGTACTGGACATCGCTCTTTGGGAGTGTACCACAGCCAAAATACATGGCGCCACCAGAAGGACAATACAATTTTGGTTGGACCTTATTGAAATTTTATCAGACCTCTTGAAATCTTGAGATGTACTTGTTATCCCTCTAATATTGTTTTGGTTATAGTTTTATTTTTCTGGCATACAATCTTCATTGTTACAATTCTTTTCCTTTATTTATTTATTTATTTAATCTTTGCATATGGACAGATCTTGGGCTCTGTTGTAAATAGTTATAAATCTAAAATGTTTAATAAATGAAGAATCACAAAAAAACAAAACAAGCAGTGTCTCAAGGCATTGCCCTCTTACCCTCAGCAATTGGAGTCTCCTCTTCAGAAAACAGGTATTCATCCGAGGACAGGTAAAGATGGTCGACAGCAAAGCAGGGTAACAGGAAAGACACAAAGCCCTAGGAAAGCAAAGTAGAAAGATTAGCGCCCAACCAATACATGACCAGGGCTGATATTTGACATTTTTAAAATACTGTCATCGGCCTGTAGGTTTTATGTCTGTTTGACTGGTGAGAACTGAAAATGGGACTTTTATTTTGATGGTGCTGATAACCACATCACAACACACACAGACAGATGCACATCGGCTCATGATATTTCATTCACTCCAAAGTTTTCAGCTCTCATTCTTTTTTCGCTGTCAGGTCTAATAATAAGAAGGCACACGCTATAATGAAACATAATACCTCTGACATCCAAAAAATATTATTTTAATACATTTTTTTGAATATCTAATAAACAGGGGTGCACATAAGTTTTTCAGCCTGGTTCTCATAAGAGAACCTGGAGATTTGGTTTGGTCCTCAAACTGCACATAGTGTAACCCATTAAATACAACCAGGGCCGCATTAAGACCTCACTGGGCCCCGGGGCTATGACTTACTGCAGGGCCCCCCATCTTACTGCAAAGCCCCCCAGCTTTAAATAGGATTTTTATTCTATCAACATTTTTGATGCACTGAAATTTCATAATTCTTGTTACTAATTTCAGTATCACAAAAAAATAATACTAGCCTAAGTAAAACCAAACTTACCGAAGACAAGTAAACGGTCACAAATTACAAGAGAACAAAGATACATAAGAAATCAACCTACTTGAAAAACTTAAAGCACTGAATAAAAAACATTATATTGTATAAAGTAAATGTACAAATAGACTGAATAGTCTTCACTGTATAAATTCAATACATTAATTCTTACTTATTTTACAAAAGTGATTCAGTCAAGGACAGGGAGTGATTTTCTTTCTGATGTTTGATTTACGTTATTGACACAAATGGCAACAGTAGCTATATTAGGCTGCTTTTCGAGGAATAGTTCACCCAAAAATGAAAATTCTGTTGTTTTTCTAAACCTGTATGAGTTTCCTTCTGCTGTTGAACGCAAAAGAATATATTGGGAACAATACTTGTAACCAAACAGTTGCTGCATGACTTTCATAGTATGAAAAAAAAAAACACTATTGGAGTCAATGGGGACCAGAAAACTTCTGGTTATGAACATTCTTCAAAATATCTTCTTTTATGTTGAGGTAAACAAAGAAATTCATACAGGTTTAGAACAACTTGAGGTTTAAATACACAACCCTTTATTGCAAAATTATGTTTTGACATTTTAAAAATAAATTGGGATTGTAAACACAGAACATGTGGATAGATTGAAGAGCCGCCAAGAGCAGTGAAAGAGCCGCAAGCGGCTCGCGAGCCGCGGGTTCGCCACCCCTGTACTAGGCCGATAGAGTTTGTTAAAACATAACAAGCAATATACATCCATCAAGTTAATAATCAAACTAACCTAAAATCTGTGGAGATGATGACACTATGTTTTTATCTGCTCCATGTGTCCGGTCCACTTGCTGTTCCACAACTTCCACTCCATCATCAGCTTTAGTAAAATAACATGATAGCTGGGAATTTTACTGACGAACTCGTGTTTTTCCCTCTTTCCCTAAATTTTTTTTTTTTAGAATAGCCCCTCTCTCACTTTTTTTAATTTTATTTTTTTAGAATAGTTGACATTTTTACTTATCGAAGATTATTCTTTGCATGACCATTTCCAGATTACGGCAGAACGAAGTGAAGAGAGGTGAGTGCGGACATTAGGCGCAGCGATCACCTGATAGGATTCACAGGCCGTTCAAAAGTAAAATATAAAATAAATGCATTTGATTGGTAAAACCAATTCAAACGTGACGTTTCAGTCTCTAATGGTACTGCATGGAATTTACAAAAAAGCTCCACTAAATAATAGCGCTAAAAAGTGGGGGGCGTGGTGGGGCTTTGGCGATCAGCGCTACCAATGACCAGTAAATCTACTCCACAGCCAATCACGGGCCCCCTCCTTGCTCGGGCCCCGGGGCTTCAGCCCCGCCTAGCCCAATGGTTAATGCGGCCCTGAATACAACTATAAAAAATAAATTAATCGTAGTGATAATATTGTTGCACTTTATTTATTTAGCTTTTTTAAAATAAAATAATAAACTAAATAATAAAGTGTGATAATACTATTATATTTTAAAATAAAAAGGGAGTATTAAATACAAATACAACTATTTTATAGTAAATTTAAAAATAAAATGCTAATATTTACTTCTTTTTTTTAAGATGAATTTTCATCATTTTCAAAATTAAAATCAGCAGGCTTTTATTTTGGCGGGTTGCCGGCAAGTAAGTATATGCGCTTACGGGTATAGCGCTGCCGACTGAAGCGCATCAGTAGGCACGTTTCCACTACCCTTCAAATTGCGCAAATTGAAATTGCGAATTGAAAATACGCTTAATGGAAACGCGTCAATTTCGCAAAAACGCCCATATATCGCAAAAAAGTTTTTACGCTCGCATGAGGTGGTTTTTCAGGCAATGCGAAAAAGGAATAATTCGCAAAACTGCAATGGAAACGGCTTTTTCGCATTTACAGGTCACATGGCGTATGTAAAAAGTCATATGACCATTCTTCAACGTACTATAACCTCCAAGAAACACATCATACGTGGCCGCTCTCCAGTATAAGGGGCTTTCCCTAACATTAATGCTTAGACAATTTACTCTGCACACGTCTGCGGTGCAGTGTGGCTCTGATACGGCCAC